GCCATTGAAATACCCAACCTAATCACTGATTCAATATCATTCTGACCTAGCAAAACCTAATGCAAAAAAAATGCAACATAAGGACATCAATATGTATCAGAAAATGTCATAAAAATTTGGGGTGATTTTGGAGCCAATTTTCGGGAAAAAAAACATGGGCATTGAGGTTGAGCTCGGAGCTTCTTTTTGCTTCATAGTTCACACATGTTTTACAATATTACATTAGAATACAGCTACACATGTACCACATTAGATATTTGACAGATAAATAGATAATAGTACACACATGGGGCATGACTAGAAGATGGGCATGACTGGAGACATACATGTACATACATACATACATAGTTTTACATACAGAAGACTTCTGCTACAATGGAGTTTGGTCAAGCTCACCCCAATAGATAACCAACAAGAAATTAATGATTACCAAAAAATTAATTACATACATGTACATGTAGGACTACTTTTAACGGACTCACTGTCCATTGCTCAATGGACCAAACACTGCCCATCAACACATTAATAATAATGAAAGTCAAATTATGCAATAATAATAAATTAATAGTTACTAAAATTTACTATACTATACATCTGTTCCCATGAAAAGTGTAGTACACTAATTAGATACTAATTAGATATTTAATTAGATATCTAATCTAATTAGATTAGATTAGATATTTCGTTTGTTTATGGATGTGACATGAGAAAACACATACTGTATTTCCTCGAGTATAAGCTGCCCCCCAGTAGCCGCCTCACTCAAATAGATGCCTCCCGGGGCCAAAGTAGTGAAGGAAATTACCGCCGCCTTCAAATAGACGCCGCATGTAATGTTATCTATTGTTATTATTATTAATAATAATGTTATCTATTGTTATTACTATTAATAACTAGCAATTAATTAATTAGTAAAATGGCCGTCTAGTCACAGTAGAGTCTGAGTTGACTGTAGTCACTTCATCCTATCAATGAATTTTTTCTTTCAAGGAAAGGTATAGATACATGGTACTTCTAGACCCTTTCCAAATGCCCTTTTCTCATTAACAAGAGCTTCTATTTAACCCCATGAAGCAAGAAATATGATGCAACTCATGAGAACACCCTTGGAAGGAGAAATAGCTCATAATGCTAAGGCACTGGGGAACATCTAAACTCCTACAGCCTGAGGTAGAACATGAGAGTGCTCTTTTTCCAGACCTGGGACTGAAAGTAGTAATTGACATGATGAAGATTAAATTATTAATTATTACAAATTTTGTTTAAAAAAATATTTTAGGTAAAATTAATAATTGATTTTAATTATAATTAATAATCGCCGCCCCCAAACAATGGCCGCCCTCGTATAGTCGCCTCCCTCCTATATATGGAAAAATGAAATAGACGCCGCGGCTTTTACTCGAGGAAATACGGTAAATAACATGTAACAGCAGATGGTTGCTCATGTACATGTACATGTGTACTGTATAGCGGGAAATTTTAGAGGAAGTTAAATTTGGTGAATTGCTAAATTTTGGTAATTGGTGAATTTTAATTTGTGGCCACGTGCCATTGAGCATGCACATAATGGCTAAAAATGGCAAATTGTTATTTTGGCAAATGGCTATCAAAACACCAAATTTTCCAAACTTAATTCCCCCCAAAATTTCCCGCTATACAATATACATGTAGATCATACCAGTGATACCACATTTCAATTGACCAATCAGAATGCTTAACAAGTGGTTGCAAATGTATCATACAGCATACATGTACATGCACATGTAGTATTTACATGTAACTGTATTATCAATACTTACCCATTTTACTAAAGAAAGCATACAGGACTCCCATGAGGTCCCCAAGGGTTAAATTATAATCAGTGACCACACCCTCTATCTGATGGAACTCGGCCAGGTGAGTTGCGTCAAGTGTCTCGTTACGAAAAACACGATCAATTGAAAAATATTTGACAGGAGTGAACTCTTTCTACAAAATTGAACAAATTAAGGATAAAAATTTGTACAGCTTGAGAAAAAATAAGTAAAAGTATTTAAATGTCAAGAAAAACATTTGTCACTTTATTCCGACACAGTAGGTGATAGAAGTTGCACCTGCTGTTATAATATAAAGTGGTTGCTATGGCTACTCATCGTTAGCTGATAAATCATGAAAATTAATATAATCAGCTTTTACTAGTAGCTCATCAAATCATTAATTATTCATGAGAATGAGCCACACCCACTTGTTGTCCAAGTTTGTAGAGCATTCTTGTGCTAACAGCAGTAGTGTGAGTCCGGAGAATGTTCTTCTGAGCTTCCTCTAACTTCCAGTCATATTGATAACTATTATTAGAAGAGGAGAGTGAGAAAGAAAGAATAATTAAAAAGATACTACATGTACATTGTTGCATTACCATTATATACATGTAGGAGGAGGAAAAATTTGGCAAATTGCCTACTGTATTTGTAATACCGTAAACGTAAAAATTTTCCATGGGCAACACAGATCCCCGAAATTTTGATGCAAGGGTGTGGTGGTTAATTCAATAGGCCACATGACAGCCACGCGTACTGATCATGAATATTACTCGTCTCTCTTTCACACTTCAGCATCTCTCCTTCCTCTGCTTCCCAGATCTTACACATGGTAGTCCCTGATAACTGAAAAGATAATGAAGGCAGGCATCTCTGCAGGTGTTGCCATGTCGCCATGTGGTCAATAAATTAATAAGATTGGGTAACACCTACCACAAAATTTTTAATGCACGAAAATTAATTTTTATGGAAAAATTCCAAAAAATTTGAAAATTTACACCACAAAAATTTTTATGTTTACGGTACATAGTATTAAGAACATGTTTATGTGCCAAAAAATTACACAAGATCAAAGAATTCTCTCCTAGCCATTTCTGACTAAATTTGGCTTGAGACTAAAGGATAGAGAATGGTCTGGCTACCGGGACTAGAATATACAACTGTAATAAGGCATAAGTTGCTTTAAAATGCTTAAAATTGATAAGTGCTTTAACTAGCACTATTAATTATGTTCATTCTTATAATCAAAGCATTCCAAAGCACTCAATTACTTGTGCTTAAAGTAGATTAACTTAAGTCCCAAGTACATGTACTTGACCCCAACCCTGGTATTCCTAGTGCTACAAGTAGATGGATATATTCTAAAAATCATGCAATATTTAGGGCTAACCTGGCATATCTTTTGTCACCATCCACAAGATTGGAACGACTTTCGAGTACAAAGTAACTTCAGAAGTGTTGATTACAGCTTTTTCTAAAGAAAAGTGTTGCATCGCATCAATGAAGTATCTTAACTTTTCATTTGTGTCAGCAGTCTTGCACCTAAAATTATTATTATGATATTAGAAGACACTGAGAAACAGGCATACTTCAATTCTACAGGTATGGTAACTGGCTTTAAGCATTCTTGGAGATGTAAAAGGTCAGAATACCCACATAGAATGTCAAGAAGGCCAACAGGGTGAGGCCCACTGGGCCTGACAGAAAAGTTTCCCACTCTTATAAATACTTCTTCCTATTAAATACATGTACACAGACAAGGAATAATGGCCTATAAACAAACCTTAATTAAGTAAGCAATCCTGTTGAGTATGTCAGGGGGCAGCTTTAGCAAGTAACTGCTAACAGGATTATTCCTATTATCACAAATACAAATGTAAAAGCTTAATTATAATATGGCAGGGTCATGCTTACCACTCAATAAAGATTTGGTTGTCATTTGTCAGTTTACAATTCTTTAACTCATTTTCACAGTTTTGCTTATTTCCGAAGCACTCAAACTGTAGAATGGCTTCCAAACTGTTTAGATCACCCAGCTTCCTCCACATCATCCCCTCGTGATATTTCCATTTAACATTATACTGGTGCTCGCCATCTTTTAATCTACGGCCTAATATGC